TTGGACAACACTTCCCAGAATCTCCCAGCCAGCATGACTAGTTGTGCTTTTTTAAAAAGCCACTTTTCCAAAACTTTGGGCAAATGCAAATGTGTGATCTCATGTTACGAATAAGAGAATATGGAATAATATCTGCTATAGAGGGCTTAGAGCAATAGATTTCCTACTATTGCTGCCTCTACTGCTAAAATTCAGGAGAAAATAAACTGTCAAGTCGTAGACTTTCATGGCCGGCATCCATAGTTTTTTGTGGGTTTTTCGGGCTGTGTGGCCATGTTCTAGAAGAGTTTCCTTCTGACGTTTCACCAGCATTTGTGGCTGGCACAGATGCTATCGAAACATGGCACAGATGATATCCACAGATGCTGGCGAAATATCAGAAGGAAACTCTTCTAGAACATGGCCACACAGCCCGAAAAACCCACAAAGAAAATAAACTTTTCTTAGCTCAACTCATCTCCTACCACTGGCCACTTCCATGTTAGTTGGGGAGTAAATCCCCTCCAGTTTGGAAACCAAGGTTTGAAGAAGCTATCCGAGGTGCTGAACCTTCTTTTGGGGATCACGTCCAGCACCTGAATACTTTCAAATGAAAACTATAAGCAGATTCACCACCACAATGACTTTCACCTCCATGATCTCCAATCCACAAAAGGCCTTTGGGCTTCCCAGAGGCACACAAGGATGCATCCATGTATTGGTCACAGGCCACTTCTACCTATTTTCTTGGGGGGTTACACAGGGAAGTGGTGAGAAGCATTATACACCATAGATCCATTTAGTTAATTCATATATTGTTTTCTTTCCCATTAAGGAAAAGAGAAGGAGGAGGAGGAGGGGAAGAGGGGAAAGAGGCACTTGAGCAAGAGAAAGGGGATGAGGAGGAAAAGGAGGATCAGGAAGAAGAGGAGCAAGAAGAAAAAGAGGAGGAGGAAACAGTGGTTCAGGAGAAGAGAAGAAGAATCCTAGAATCATAGGACCTTATCACACGCTGGCCACGAAGCGAAAAGTAA